CATATACCTAGCCTATGACTCATAATTTCTATTTGTCACTTGCCAAGAGAAACGAAAACATGTACCCATAAAAAAAAAAACTTGTTCAAGAATATTCATCACAGCTTCATTTATTTTTTGAGCCAAGATCCTCTTATATTGCCCAGGCTGGTCTCAAAGTCAAGTGACCCACCTACAGCAGGCTTCTATGTAGCTTGGGCAGCAGGAATACTGCCATGCTCCACAACTTTTTTCTGGTTGTTGGTTTTGCTTTTGTTTTTGTTGTTTGTTTGTTCTCTCAGGGCTGCTGATCAAACCCAGACTTTAAGCATGCTAGCCAAGCCAGCTCTATACCCCCCAGCAACCTACAGCTTTAATTCTTAATTACCCAGATATGGAACAGGTCAAATGGCTATCATCAGAGTTAATAAACTGTCAAATCTCCATTAGTAGAATACTACTCAACCATAAAACACTGCTGCCCTGCCTAAAACCTTCCTCAGAAATAAAGGTTTTCCCTAAGAGAGACATACATGGTCCCCTGGAGAAAGGGAGAGGGTCAAGATCCCCTGCACAAATTGGGAGTACGAGAAGAGGGAGGAGGGAGCTAGGAGAATGAGAAGGGGAGAAGAGGAAGGATGCAGAGGACATGAAGGAGCAGAAAGGTTGAGTCAGGAGAAGAATAGAAGATAACAAGAATGGAGATACCATAATAGAGGGAGACATTTTGGGTTTACAGAGAAATCAGGCACTAGGGAAAGGTCGGGAGATCTACAAAGATGACACCAGCTAACAATATAAGCAACAGAGGAGAAACTACCTTAAATGCCTTCCTCTGATAATGAGATTGTTGACTGACTTATATGCTATCTGATAGCCCTTATCCAGCAGCTGGTGGAAGTAGAAGCCGACACCCACAACTAATCACTGAACTGAACTGGAATCCAGATGCAGAGAAGGACGAGTGAAGAGCAAAGGGGTCCAGACCAGGCTGGTGAAACCCACAGAAACAGCTGACCTGAACTTCGGGGAACTCTTGCTCCCCAGACTGATAGCTGGGATACCAGCATGGGACAGATCCAGACCCCAGAAACATGTGTTTCAGTGAGGAAACCTCAGAAGTCTATGGGGCCTCCTGTAGTAGATCAGTACTTATCCTTAGCACAATTGTGGATTTTGGAAGCCCATTCCACATAGAGGAATACTCCCTGAGCCAAGACACACGGGTGTGGGCCTAGGCCCTATGCCAAAGGATATGATAGACTCTGATGACACCCTATGGAAGGCCTCACATTCCAGGGGAAGCAGAAAGGATATGTGATAGGTAGGGTTTTAGTTTGGGGGGGTAGGGAGGATGGGAGGGACAAGGGAACTGGGATTATCATGTAAAACAATCTTGTTTCTAATTCAAATAAAAGATCTGCAAAACAAACAAACAAAAGAAATAAAGGTTTTATTCTCCTAGCTGCCAGGGTTATTACTGGAGATATCCCTTAGCTAGCAGCCACTATTTGAAGTGGGAGGTAGGGAAAATTCCTCAGGCCGAATTCATGGTCTTGCCCCAAGTGCTGCTTTCTTCCTAAGGAAGCAGCCCACACTCAGCACCTTGTGGGGTGGCCACCGTGGGCAACAATGTGAGGCAATTGTGACAGAGCGTCCAGCATTAAACCTGCCACTGGAGTCAGTGGGGGTTGGTGCTGTTTGGAGGCAGGCACCTCACAACTTTGCTGTCTCTCTACCCATTCCTACTTCTTCTCCATCCTTTCCAAAGCTGTTGATTCCAAGGTTCCTCATCAGCGAAGACCTAGCATGCCGGTCTTCCCTTTTTTGCAGAAAATCCAAGCTATGGAATCTAGTGACAAACCCAACTAAATGAAGGCCTTGAAACAATTTCACCAACTTGAAGAGGCTAAGAACCAAATTATGATGTCTGAAGCTCTAATACAGCGAAACAAATGTCTTAACGAAGGAAATCAGAATAGTGGAGACTGACTGGGACAGGCCTGAACACTCTATTGGAAGGTAGAATTATCCTTCCTGTGTCCTGATGGGGTGTTGACTACATGGACGACAAACAGAAGTATTCTCTCAAAATATGGTCACTTACTTCACTGTGTGTAAAACTGACCACAAGTTTTCTAAAGTAACGAAGAAAAAATAACCATATCAAACTTGGTTTGAACTTATGTTCATGCATATACTTAGATTTCATTGGGGCCCATCAAGCTTTTGTTCTTTGGTTGTTTTGAACCTAACTTTTAAAATTAACAAAGCTGTTATGCTCTTCTTTCTGGGGATTGCAAAATCCAATTGACGTGCCCTTTCAGTCTGTCATAATTAAAAATGTTATGCTAATCAGTTGTAGCTCCAAAGGCACGCAATTGCTTCTTGTGTGATGAATCTATTCATCAGCGTGGCTGGGCGCAAAGTTCATCCAATTACACATTCAGCTACCTGTATCCTCATTTAGCATTGATGTCTTAGAGAATACTTGATCAGACTTAAAAATCATCAAACAGGCTATTACAGCCAGAGAGACCTGAGAGATCCTTCAGTGTGCTGACCAGAAAGTTTAGCTTTGTGGGTAGCTCAGTGGTGAGCATCAAAGAAGTTTCCCAGATACAGACAGGAGTAGACTTGACCCCACATTCTAGGACACATCCCACCAGGCATGCCTCCTACTGTCTCTGTGTCTGTTGTCTCCTCTGCAGCTTAGTTTGGAAACAAAAATATACTATATCCAAGGGCTTCTTCCCACCACTGATGTTTCTTACTTTGCAATAAGTTCCACTGTCATTGAAGGGCTCAGTTTGTCCTGGAGGTAGTGACCAACACCCGTAATCCCAGGATTTGGGAGGGAGAACAGATCTGTAATCCAAGCCCATCCTTGCCTATATAGCTAGTATAAGGCTAGCTTGTGCTACATGAGACTATAATAGACTCTGATCATGTTAGAATTCTAATTTGCACCACAAACTAGAGAGAAACAGCCTACATGCTGTCTCTGTGAACCCCTTCTCTCTCATATGGCAATCTACAGGAAACAATTTTGGGAGAACTCTGTTTCTCAGTAGACAGATCTGGTTAGAAAACCAAGCAAAACAATTCCAAAGAGTATTGTTTAGATACAACTCACAAAGCCTATGACTCAGTCATTTAAAACATATGTAATTGAATACTTTCACATTTATGTACAGAGTTGTGTAAGTACACTACCATCAACTTCTTATTTTCATCACTGCAACAAGAGACCCTGTACCCCAAAGCATCACTTGTCTCCACAGTCTCTCCAACCCTAGGTAGCCATTAATATCCTTCCTTTCCATAGGAATATACCTACCCCAGAAATTTTATGTAGATGGAATCATACATTTATCCTTTCATGACTGGTTTATTTCACTTAGCATAATGCTTTCAGTGGTACATGCCTAGATCAGTACTTCATTCATTTGTATTTCTAAGCTCACTTACTATATGGATATGCTATATTTCTTCTTTGTATTCATCAGTTTGATGGACATTTGTGTTATTTCAATTTGCAGCTGTTATGAGCGATGTTACTATGGATTTCATAGACCAATTTTTGGTGAATACATGTTTTCATTTGTTTTGGGGGTGATGGTAACCCTCTGATGCATTGCTTAAGAAACTGGAGCCAGAGAGTTGGCTCATGGAGTAAGGGCAAGCCTGGTGACCTGGGGACCAATATGAAGATAGAAGCAGAGAACTGACTTAATAATGAGCTGCCCTCTGACCTCTATATTCGTGCCATGCTCACTCCTGCTAATCAATAAACAGCAGCAGCAGTAACAACAAAAAAAAAAATTTAAAAAGAAACTTGCAAACTATTTTTCCAAAGTAGCTGCAACATTGTGTGTGTGTGTGTGTTTGCCATGAGGGCAGGTGCCTACCAACATAAGGTCAGATCCCTCGGAGCTGGAGTCATGGGGTGATTGAGGGTTGCCAGATACAGATCCTGGAAAACAAACTATAGTCCCTGCAAAAGCAGTACATAATCAATTGTTTTAACTGGTGAAGCATTTCTCTAGCCCCTGATTATTGTGGTCTTGATTTGCGTTCTCTGGGGTCAATGTTAATGAGCACCTCTTTATATTTATATTAGCAATTTGTATATCTTCTTCTGAAAAAGCACAAAGTTTTCCTTTGAGCTGTTTTGTTCATTTGTGTCTTATGTTTTTGGTGTCTTGTTAATGAACCAATTGCCTAGACCAAGGTCATGAAGATTCACACCTACAGTGTCTTTGAAGAGTTTCAGCTCTTACGTTTGGTTTTCTTCAATTGTGAGTTAACTTTGTATGTGGTATAAGGTCAGGCACTCTTTTTGTTTAAAAATATTGATTGATTGCAGTTCTGGGGATAGAAACCCAAGGCCATATCCATACTAGTCAAACATTCTTTCTCTGAGTTAACAACCTCAGGTCCTGTCTTATTCTGTTTACTGATAAAATGATTCTCCATTGAATTGTCTTGAGAGCCTTATTAAAACTCAGGATTCTATAAATGTATTTTTAGAATCTCCATTCTGTTACATTTATTCTATAGAAAAATACTCCATCCAAATACACTTTCCAACCAAAAGCCACATGGATCTGGAGAGCCAATTAATACACTATGTCATCAAAACATTACAAGTGACCCAGGTGTTTCAACTTTTGTTTGTTTGTTTGTTTTCTTGCCTATTTCCACAGCAAATTAAGATAAGGGGCATATCCTCAGAGAAGTATTCAAGGCAAGAAATTGTAGTTCAAGGACAGAAGAAGCCAGAACAGCTTCATTAGGCAAGAGTGAAAATACCAAGTCACCTATTTTGTGGCAGCTTTCCCCAAATCCAGGGGTGAACCCAGAAGCACCATGAATCAGCTTCCTGATGTGTGCTGTGACTAGCCTTGTTTTCAAAGCATCATAGTTCACTTACAAGGACCTCTTCTGGGACCACTGGAGCAGAGGCAACAGGGTGTGAGTTTAAGTCCATTCTCTGACTTCCCAAGTTTGGCAGTTACCTATAGGGCACTGAGATGCTCCGGGGAGTGTCAGTGCAGTTTCAGCATCTGACAAAGAGCTTCGGGCCTGTTTGATCTGGGAAAACCTAGGGTGTTCTTCAGGGGGAAGTGGGTGCTGTTCTTGCTTGAAAGGGCTCATTATTCAATGAGGGTGCTTAGGGTAGCTGCTGACATATCACACACACACACACACACACACACACACACACACACACACACACACTGTGGGTGTTCAGGTGTGTGTCCAGACATGCTTATCTTGATTTCCAGTAAGATTACCTCAGCACTGCACAGGTTGTTTAGGAAGTGTGAGGGCTGTTTCTACCACCATCTTGGGAATTGGTGAGTTGGTTAAGTTCCCAAAACTCTAAGCTTTGCAACAAAAACTGAAAACAGTCCTAGCTTGAAGAAAAGTTATCCACTGGGTAAGCAAAAGCAGCACTATGTGTGTATTCACAAATCTCTACAGGTAATTTCAAAGTCTATGAAGAAAAACAGCCTGATAAACATTACAGATGATTTTCATTCCAAAGATGCTGCCTTGAAAGATAGTCAATGAAAATAACTGAGCACACAGAGGGCAAGACAAACTGCTCAAATGTGCTTGGCCAGCTGTTGAGCTAGTAAAACTTTCTTTTTTCTAGTAAATTTATAAAAAATATATTAGGGATTTTACACTGATTCATAAAAAAAAAACCACCAAATACCATTCATCTGTGATTAGCCTATACTTACGAAAATGTGGAGTATGTTGAGTATTGTCTTCAAAGATTTTGGTCAAATACTTGGGGTTCTTTCTTAAAAATTTTCCGTTTCCAAATAGACCTCCTCACACCCCACTTTTATTACGAATAAAAACTGAAAAATTTACTCTCATTTTAAAGGCAAACCAAACTTTGAATATAGTATTTCTTAAATTTTCTCAGATTTGTGAGAAATCTGAGAAACACACACACACACACACCTCATCTACTCCATCCTTGGAGTTCAATGCCACCATTTTTATGCAGATGCACAAAATGCGTGTTATCCCATGGACTTGTGTTGGTGATTGATCATGCACAGGCCATTCGGAAGTCAACAAGCTCTCGTTGTTCCTGGAGCAGACATTCAGGACGCACACTCACCCATTCTAAGGAGGAGAAGCAGTCATGGAAAGAGGCATCTGTGTGCTTGAAGCACATCTTCCACTTCACTCATGGTTCCCATCTCCAGCATCAGTGTTTCATAGACTTTTCCATAATTCACCAGCTCTCCATCCTTTCTAGTCAGATCACAGGCCCAGGGAAAGAAGATGTTTCTCCACTTGGCCTTCCCTTGATTCTTAGCAACTACCATCATCACAGCATGCTCCCGACTCAGCCAGCTTTGTTTTTGTTTTTTTCCATTCCCTGATGGTCCCCATTCTTCTCCCTCCATGATTTCCAATTTAGAGTCAATCTGATCCATTTACTAGTGCCCCCCAAACCCCGAATCCTTTGGATTTAATCCTATGAAATCTGCATGGAATTTTGATCATGATGTCCTTATTAACTAATAAATAAGGCAAATTGACTAAATGAGCCATCCCCAGATGAAAACAAGGCTCTAACACCCTTCTCTGCCCCCAAACACCCACCATTGTCACAGGCCCCATTTCCCCCCAGACAGGAAGCAGTAGACATAGGAGGAAGCTACAGCATACAAATGAATACACTGTTCCCACAGTCCTGCTCTTGTGAGTTTTGCTCCTACCATAAATAAATAATGCTACAACTTATTAAAATAGCCCCCAAGTGTTACAATTATGGTAGCCAACTCTCTCTTAGCCTCCTCCTTATTTCCACTACTTCCCTAGTTTCATTGTGGCCCATTGGTAGCCTGTGCTTCACACAGTGAGAGGCTGCTGGACTAACCTCTCCTGTCAACTCAACCCTCCACTGCTTTTCTGTCATCTCTGTAATAAAAGCAAACACTAAGAAGTTAAGTCCTTCCCCTAGGCTACAAGGCCTTGCTCAGTTGGTCTTGGTTGGCATCCCTGCTCAGTTTCCCCATGCACTCTGTTACTCGGTCTTTCTGTCCACACTGATCGTGTGTTCCTCAAACAGAAGCACACACCAGCTTAGGGCTTTTGCACTGACTCTTCTTGCTGCCGATCTATGTACCTGACTTTCTCCTCCCTAACTTGGGCCAAGATCTCCTTTTGGCTAAGACATCCTGAACAGAGAGATCTTCTCTTTTCTTTTATACATCAAGGTGAAATTCCTGTAAGTCTTGTATGCTTGCTTTATTTTTTCCTCTATAACATATAATTAAAACTAATCATGTACCAGTCTAAATGAAATGCAAACCCATGAGGAGAGCTATTTTCTCGCCTTCACACTGTATCCTGTCCCTAGACTAGATGGGGCCTGGGACACTGTAGAGTTACATGAGTAAATGAACAAATGTGAAACTATTCCCATTACTGGAAATTTTGTTTTGCTATTGTTTGCTGTTTGTGGTGTGTGTGTGTGTGTGTGTGTGTGTGTGTGTGTGTGTGTGTGTGTGTGTGTGTTCTAAGACAGGGTTTCACATAGCCCAGGCTGGCCTCAAACTTACTATGTAGCCCAGGATAACCTTAAATTTGTGATTCTCCTGTCTCCACTTCCCAGACCCTGAAATCTCAGATATAAGCCATCATACTGGGCTTTGTTTCTGGAAAAATGATAAGTCAAAGGTCACTATATAGCAGGAGGACTTTGAGGCAGGTTAATTTCAGCTGAAGTCACATTCCTCCTCTGTAAAGTAGTGATATTGTCTACATTACAGACAATGGCACATATTTAAACCCAGGGACTCCTAAAGTGGCTCAGTGAGTAGGATCTTGCTATTCGAGCATGAGGATATGAGCTCTGATTCTCACTCAACACCTATGTGAAAAGTTGTGAGTGGCCTCTGGCCTTCCCATGAGCATGCACAGATGCACACAGATGCACATACACATACATAACCAACAACAATACATACATGCCCACCATCAACACACACATGGATACACACAAACCCAATAACCCCTAAAACCCAATCAGTTGTAACATCTCCAATTGTCAATATAATTAACCAATAACTAGATACCACCAAGTTCTGAATGGCTTGATTGAGAGCTAAATTCTATGTTTTGTGTATTTAGCCACTTAGGGAAAAGTATAATTGTTGCTAATAAGATGAAAATTTACTCTTCAGAACTTATTAAAAACACATCTTGAAATTCCTTGCAAACAAGCATTACTTACCCTGGGCACCTAAGACATGACATTGAAGACAATAGCCATAATTGCAAGGCTGTTATGCTCTGAGCATAATCTCAAACTCAGAGAGAGAACACCAGCGCTTTTCTTGCATATTTTCTCAGGCTATTTAGATATTTAGTCCTGGAAGTGGGGGAATTGCTTGAAAAACACGTTGAGCAGTCTCAAACCTTCCCATCTCTTTAGTTAAATTTAAAGCCGGGGTCAGAGTGCAGTTGGCCTTCTTGCTGTTTTAAGAAAAATGGAATCCTAATTATCCTCATTCTTCGTCCATAAACCCAGGCTAGTGGACAATAGTTCATTGATAAATCACACAAAATGAGACACCTTCCTTGCACTAGGACTTGAAGGATGAGGCTGTTTCCAAAGAGTCATGGTACTGCAATGAAATACATGGTTACATATTTGCCTGCGTCTGCCAAAGAAAGCACATCTTGTTGGTCCATCACACACTATGAGCTGTAGAGATTTGGGAGCTACTAAATTTGCCTAGTTACTTCTTATTTGCTTATTTTTGCCTCTCCTTTTCTTGTTTGCTCACTTATTTTTGAGACAGGATCTCACCATGTAGCTTAGGCTGGCTCCAGATTTATTTTATAGTCCAGGATGGCCTTGAACTCTCAGCAATCCTCTTGCTTCAGCCTCCCGAGTAGACTATAAGCAGCTATCACTCTGCCTACCTTAAATTCAGTTCCTTTAAAGTTGATATGCTTTGGGACTCATGAATTACTGTTAGACAGTGTTTATTCTGTTTAGAGTGGGATGTAGTTTCATAACTTTAAAATAATTGGTTACTGATATAGATATTGCAACAATGGAGATGAACCCTAGATTTGTGTATATTTGGGGATTCCATTTAGGTCTCTGTGTCTTCATACCTCTTCTATGACCTCAGACATGTCAGACAGTCACTGAACACCTGATAAGGGATGGGAGTAAAGTGTTTTGATAGAATAGGTTTTAAAAAGTGTTTTTTTATTATTTCTGACATGATTTATTTCTGCATAGGTATTTATCCCTATTTTTAAAAAATCTACCTTGTATCTTTACGATAAAGTGCTGTTAAATATTTCTAGGCAGTTCACATTTCAACCACTTCTTTCATGGATTTTGAAATTCATATTTTAGTAAGGAATGATAATTGCACACTAAAAGAATGAAAACACACTTCAACAACATTCAGCAATATTTTCTTTCAGTGCTTTTTTTTCAGACGTGCTTCTTTCATTTTAATGTAAAATGAGTACTGAAAAGAACAGATAAAGCCTCCTTCAAACAGGTAAGAAGAGAGGTTAACATTTCTATTCTCTATTCATTTAAAAGACATCGCCATAAGATGTAAATCTTATCCTGTAGCTAAAGATTCAAAACAAGAAAAATAGAATTTTACATGCTATCATGACCATTTTCATAGAGTGACAAGAAAGACATTGCTTCTTATGAGAAACCTGCCTCCCAGTGCTATGACGTTGCCAAGCCCCTTCATTGTTTTCAAACCTTTTTTTTTATTTTGCCAATACTACACCTGTACCATAAAGGCAGATGTAACACCCTTTCCAACAGAGCCTAAGTTAAATAAACAAATCATGTCTTCCTGTATATTAAGAAAGCAAAGTAAGCCTAACATGCCCATAAGTCCAGACAAATTCCATTAAAACTCACTTGAATCCAAATATGGTATACTTAAACAGACTTTAAGCTACACAATTGTAGAAAATTCCATTGCATTTAAAACATTGTTTGGGAAAACAATTTGATTTTTTTTACCACCAATAGAATGCATAATTGCTCAAATTATTAACTCTTCTACATGCATTCCCTAAAGTTGTGCTTTATTAAAGATTCTGACATGTAACATTAATGAGAAAAA